TTTTTAATAAATTGATTTAAAAGTTCCACGTTTTTTTTTATAATTTCGCATGGACACCCGCGGTTTGCTTGCGTTGGCCATTTCTCTCTACCTTAACAGTTGTTTTATTGAGAGCCGTTACTACGATTTGGTCTCATATTATCGTTGTCATCGTATTACCGCGTGCTTTTTGTATCTTTTGTCATAGGACAAAGAGACTGATGAATTCGAAATGACGTAAATACAAAGCTCACTTAAAGAACCGATTTAGTAAAAATACCTTTGCTAAATTCAGCTATTAATTTGAGAAAGATTGTTTACAGAGAGTGTAATAGCTCGATAACTTGCACGTAGCCAGGTTGTTGCATAGCTTATAAAGCTTCTCGAGCATTCCTCTTTTTCCTCCTTTCTTTGTTTTTCGTTCAAATTTACTCTTTATAGCTCGATTCTAATATTACTTGGTCTACTCGGAATAAATTTATTCAGCAAAATCCGATAATTCTACTATCTTTTCGTCTCACTACTTCTCTTCATCTTATTATTATTAAATCGCGCCAAACTTACTCTACGTTTAGGCGGTAAGGCAATGTATGGGCGGTGGAGCAACGCCGGCAATACGGAAGCGGTATCTTATGCATACACGTATATGCGTTTTCCATATATCTGGGTTAAAATAATTAACATATCGTACAACGATACGGGGGGTGCGCTTTCGCGGAGGCCCCGGGAGGGCAATTTCTTCCCCCGAATGTATCCCCGGATAATTCGACGCGCGCGCTTCCTTAGCGCGCTCATGCCGATAACGGGTTATCGAGTTGCCGCGTATTGTTAGATTACGTAATTTGAGTTTAATCTCTGCGTAATTAGGGATGTACATCTACGGTAGTTTGCCGCGTCGAGGGAGCGGCTGGCGGAGATACATTATGCAACTTGCTACGCTCCGCTCGCGTCTTGTTGTCCGCGAGATAACGTGAGGCTGCTATCAATTTTTTTTCTGCGTAATTTTCTGGGGCAATGGTTACATCAGGCGTGCGTGTAATGAGAATTTACAATTGTAATAATAATTTATTTTTTTGTACAAAAAAGACTGAAATAATCTTTCTGAAAGTCTCGAACCACTCGATCGTTTTCGCGTACGTGAATCCTCGCTTTGTTACTTTTCAGTGAATTTTTCGCGTCTCTCAGATATTATCCGGGATATTTATCGAAAGGATTAATGGGCCAGTTTAATCGTCTTGTCGCGACGTTGCAAGCTACATTGCTCTCGTGGTATTGCCGCAGGTCGTTCCGGTGCGCTGACACCTGGTCGGTTAATCGCTTCGAAGCCGCTTCGGTGAGAGCGCTTAAACTCGCCAACTCCGATTGCGCTATTCCGGAACTTTAGCGAGTCGCAATTGCGGCGACGATATGGTCGGCGCTGGCCTAACTTTTTGGATTTATGATCATGATCTCCGTTTAAATCCGCAGAGATTGATCGGACCAGCTAGTTTCTGCCCCGAATCAAATCGATATCCGCGCGCACGAAGCAGAAGACGTTTACATGATTATCGTAGAATTGATTAATTGCATGTATTTGTGCTCCATTATCATTATTTTCCCTGTTAATGATTTATCATCCAAATTTGATATAATTATGTGGCACGTATTTATATTAAATTTTGCAAAACACGACCATGTATCTGGTTTAACAAAGTATCAATAACCACTATTGGGCGTTGTACTCGCACCATTGCAATTTATGATTAAAGACGAGCCAATTATAATTTTATTTGCAATTATACATTTATATTTGTTAATAACGTGATGTAATAATTTTCTAAATAAAGCAATTACTTAATGCTGAATATTGTAGAAAACTTGCTAAATTATCGGAATCTCCAAAGATTATTAACGAAGGTTAGATCATTTGGTACATTTTCGTTAAACTACACTTCTTATCGCGTAAAATACATAGAGGAAAGTCCCGTGTTTAAACTTTCGTCGATCATTGAGGTTTATCAATCGCGGAAAGTCTTGAAATTTCGCGCGTCGAACGCCGGTTCCGAGAGATGACGTATTCTCATTGTACGAAATCATTTACGCTGCGACAGTCGAACGGATTGATCATGCGCCGCTCCGGATATCGCATTATTCTTTACGCGTTCGCGACAAGTGCCTTTGGAGTGAAATCCGTTCAGTCGAAAACTGATTGTTAGATCGTGTAATCGTTGCGAAAAAAGATTTGCGATTGAATTTGGACGTTGAAAACCTACCATCTCTCATTAGGATTCTATCTCGCATAATAGAGGCTTTTCCTCTGTGTATAAAATTTCCAGACTTCTCCCAGTGTAGTTTCTTGGCCTAACTGAACGATACTCTTCGAACAATCAATTCTCTGTCTATTGTCGCTTCGCGTTGGAATTAATTCGAGTGCCGATTGCCGGTGGGTTAAACGTCAGACGAAGCCGCTTTAACTAGGCCCGCCTCCACCCTCGCAGTTTCGTAACTTTGGAAGGCGGCGGCGGCGGCTGCTCTCGTTATCCTCATCAGGGTGATTTAGACGACCCGATTCGGTTTGTCGGCAAAGTTCAACCACAAACGCCGACTGCGGTTGTGTTCACGACGGAATATTTCGCACGAGAATTGGCGAATCGCACAAATTGCGAAAGCCTATATTCGTAATCTACCAGATGATTCGAATCCCTCTTGCCTCTCGTAATAGTCTCAGTTCGACATACTTAAACATTTGCAAACGTGTCCTCCCGAGCGGTAATAAACGAAAACATTTTAGGTTTCTCATGAAAATTCTTTATATTATTTACTGAATTCATTATTTTGCAACTCGATTGAAAATAATTGCGCTATTTTTGGCCTAATTAGCCAAGTTAAAATGCGCGTGGGACATTGTAATCCCAATCGTAATGTATGCCCCGCCAAGCACTGGGTGTTGGTTCATTATGCTCGAAGTCCGTATAATCAGTGCGCGACGTTCATGTCAATCCCATCGGCCATTTAATTAAATGCCACGGGGCATGAAAATTATTTTGATGAGCGCGCTTATAATGACGCCACCGAATTGCGTACTGTTTTGCACAATATGCTGCAAATATGTATGCACTCGGCTCACGCGTTGCCGATTAATTGCATTTAATGTTCACGATGTAAACAAGTGGCAGGCTTCGCGAATATTACGTATAGCGATTTTAATAATAGAGATATATCTACGTCGTTAAAAATATACATTGTTCAATGTAAAATTAAAATACAAAGATACTTAAGAAGATCAAGTACTTCTATATTTTCGAAATTAAAACGAAATTAGAATTTCTCTATACTGTTACTTTTTACACATTGTATTGCTATTCTTTACTGTTAAGGAGCCTTATATATCTTTGGCGATTGCTTTAATGACAAATATTAATTTTTATAAATTGATCCTTCTTAAAGCTATTAAATCCCGCGACTCGATTAAATATTAATATATTAATAATAACGTGCGAAATGTGGAATTTCCATTCGTTGAAATTAATTGCGGTAATGACGTGTGGACCACGTGTCACTTTATTGCGCGGCTAAATCCCTGGTGATTGAAAAAGGCTAAACTACCGGGCTGTAATGTTTCGATCGGCCATTTATGCGCTTCATGAATAAATGAATAATACGCCGTCTCCGAGGTTCGAGGAGGAAGTAGTTCATATCAACGCTCGTGCAGCTGGTCGAGCTAGGAACATGTTTATCCACTTTCTCGTTTGCATCTTGAAGTAAAGTCCCGCATCCGCAGCGGTTAATCCGCGGGGATTAATTATTTACGAAGCATTTTAACCGTTTATACTGAGAGAGAGAGAGAGGGGGGGGGGTCAGGTTTCTTTGATAGATTTCTTCAGCAAAAATCGGAGATAAAAGAGCAAATTATGATAATTGCATTACGATTGCAATTATTTAAATTTTGTATTTTATTTTGTTTTTAATTTAATTCAATTTCACAATCTTTTAGTATATCGCTAATTCTGGAAACTATTAATGTCTTGTGAAATTATTGTACTTGCTAAATTGTATTTTATTAATGCGCGTGTTTGTTGAGCCCTCATTACTTTCATGTAGTACCCACTGTACATTTGAATGCGACCGCGAACATTTGGTGAACATAAGAATAAACGTAAGGATAATCGTCAATTTAACGTATGAAATGTTAAGTTATTCTTCTATGGCTCGATCGAGTCAATTCGACTTCGCTAAAGATATAAAAACCGACGTATCATCTTGTCGGCCGCACTATCGCTTTCTTCTACGTGCCTTTATTCTTGCCGCGAAAAGCTCTAATCCTCTCTCGACTCTAAATCTCCCCGTGCACTTAATTCGCCTCGCTCACTCGCGAAGCCGCGAGAGGAGTGAGGGGCGGTATAATGGCTTTAAAAAGCTCATGGGGAAAAGACGTGGCGGTGATTGCCTGGCGAGACCGAGAAGACGAGTAAAGGCTAAAGTAAAGCAGAGATTTTGCCCGAGTAAGCGGCTTACGAAGACTATGTCGTAGCTTCTGAGACGCGATATGTGTGTGAAATCGGTGACCCACAAGAAAGACGCATTACAAATACGTTTTTGAAAGAACGGCACGACTTTCCTGGCTCGAACAGGAAAACTTGCAGTTGAACAATTCACTTCATAATCAATGCTTTTTAATTGGTATACAAGTAAATACACATCTGTAACACTACAAATATGTGCTTATAGAGTTTTTAGAGGCGTGTAATACATTTTAATTGGTATGCATTTAGTTAATATAATTTGTAATTTAATATTGTAATACGTTTTATTAGTATGCATTTAGTTAATATAATTTATGCTCAAACAATCTAAATTCTAGATGCCACGTTCCGACAGTAATTAGAGATTTTGTTTGAGGAATGCATAATATTATAATCATGTGAGTTTGACAGAAATTTGATGAATCTAAATATAATATTTAAAGGAACAAAGGACTGAGAGCCGCGACGGGGTGTTGGTGTTTAAATATTTCATATTGTTTAATTTATTGCGAAAAATATTACCTCAACCAGGGTTTGAACCTGAACCCCCCCGCTTACTAGGCGGGCGTCTCAACCAATTCGACCACCGAGGCATATGGAATTATTCGCAAAATATTTTGCGCAATAAATTGAAAAATATGAAATATTTAGACACTAACACCCCGTCACGGCTCTTAGTCCTTTATTCCTTTGAATTTGTGTTTATCACATTTTAGCCATACGAAATCTTAATATAATACTTATCTTATTTTCCATTACTAATAATAATTAATTAAAAGACTCACCAAAAACGGGAAGCTTAGTACAGCCGAATGAAATAATTTAGCTGCTATAATCGCCGAATCATTCTAATATTAAGCGGCTATAATTCCTGGGACATTGCGGTTATCAAACCCAGTCAGGTAACTCACGTACAACAATGTTATCCGTGGTCACGTGCGATCGCGACTCTGCCAAAACGATGCGAAACATCCCCACAAATTCTCCCTTGACATTCCTGATCGGCTCACTCGGCCTCGACTTATCCTCACTCTCTCTCTTCTTCTTCTATCTCTTTTTCTTACAAGGAAAAGTAATTCTGCGAGTCTTCGGAAGCTTAGGTACATAATGGAGATTTGAAATCTTCGATCCGCGTATGTCCGTGAAGAGAAGAGATTTAAATTTCAGATCAGCCGCGTACGCTTTTGTTCGCGCGTTGAACTTTCGCAAAAAGAGAAATTTGCGGCGGACCAGCGGAAAAAGGGAAAAAGACAGTCGGAGGGGGGGGGGAAGGAGGGGGAGGGAAAATTCCGCGGTGGCACGTCGATTTTTTCGTGGGTGAAATATCAATTTTGCAAAGGCGGGCGGAAAAATTTTAATTAAACGCCGCAGCGAGCGCGCTCGACGAGCACGATTGAAAAGTTAGTTCGGACCGTTTTGTTGTCGCCGCTCTGCTCCGATGCCTTCTAAACTTGGGCCAATTTTTGTTCAACGAATTTAAAACGTTCGTTTTTATGACATAATGTACTTTCGCTCTTATATCTCGAGCGTGGAAGTGTGCGGCTCGATGGATTTTTCATATTGTAGCATTCAACATGCAAATCGTTTCTCATTACAAGTTGTAGAAACTTGACAATTAATCGGTGAACGTTACCAATTACTGATAACGTGTACGAATTCGCGATCGCGTCTCGGAAACTAGGCATCAAAAGGCTCGTTCACAGTCCATTTTTATGTTAAAGAATCGTCTTAAATATTTCTTGAGCTATTTCGTAGCCACTAAAGTGATCTGTGTAGCATTCATACGGATTATTTTTTGGCTAAATACTCTCTCAGCATATATTTAAGACACAGTTAAATATAAAAATTGACTATAAACTGGCCTTAGTGCGCGCTAGTGCAAGCAATCGAATTCGCTATTAGAAAGAGCTATTCTTTTAGCATTTTTATTATAGTATAAGATACAGAATTGACCCCCTGATAACGCAAAAGTAATATAACGTGCGCGGTGACAATCGTTATTTTAAGCAATACTAATAAGTACCCGGTATAATACGCAAAATGTACAGTAACAATCACCGAACAAAGTAAATTGAAATATTAGACATAAAACCTTGAACTTACATTTTTTTTCATATATGTAGTTGTGACAACGAACTTTCAACGGTCGTTCTTGTTTTTCTTCCCGGCACGGCATCGTGCGACGTTCCGCGGGCTAATGCTTTCACGAAGGTCACTGCGCTATCATTCGCTCGCCGAGCCTCGAGCCGGCACGTAGCATCGGGAGTCGCTCCGTACGTCGTATTACTTTTGCGTTATCAGTTTCCGAGAGCCGATCGCAACGAGTGTCGAGGTAAAATACTATTAATTCGCACACGTTTGTCAGTAATAAGTGACTTTCATCATTCAATTATTAAGTGTAAATGTAAATCACGGTTGTCGCGATTGTATCTCGTGTACGCATCGCGCTTTTAATTATCTGTCGATTTCGAAGTAGTCCGTTTTTCATTTTTGGGAAAAGAGGCAGAAAGTTGTGTGCGGCTTTGGTGTTTGCGTTATTTGCTGTAATTCGTTCTGTCGTAATTTTTGCAACTCGAACGGGCAGAAAGTAGGGAAGTAGAGAAAGTTGCTCATTGCGCGTCGTCACGTTATCTCTGAAAGTGTGATCGAAAACGATCTCAGTTAACTGTTATAATTAATAACATATTCATCGCGGTCGATGTTTCGCTTGCGTAATTCATTTCGCGTACGGATTAGATTGATTAACAGTGAGGATTATAGAATCGTTTCGTTGCGAATTCATAACTCACGATTTTCTTTACCGAGCAGATGCTCGGATTCCGATCCTCGCGTCGTGTTTTATCTCTATCGCCGATTTAAAAGTGATTTATTCATTACTTCCGAATGAAGAACGTAAGATAACACGCGAGCTGCCAGTTGAATGATTCGCGTGACGTAAAGTCATACGACGTATGTGCGTTTCGCGGTATTTCACATCGCGTACGGGAGTGCCACGTGAAACGCGCGATCGTAATTAGTCGTTTTCGCGAGTGAATTGTGAGTGCAACAAGGAAATCTGAGAGGAGGAGGAGGCTCAGGAGGCATCGGGCAACGGCGGAGCAACAGTGAGGTAAGAATTTTATATTTTATATATTGTTTGTTACTTGTAAAATTAAACATCCGCTCCCTGTTTGTCTTATTTATTCAGATGATTCGAATGCGAGTTTACAGACAAAAATATGATAAAATTGAAATTTTGTGATCTTATATTTAAAAGCGTGATTTTTCTCAAGTAGTCTATAATTACTTTATTAAATATCTATTTAAAGAAAAGAGAAAATATTTAATGCGACAGTAATTATTCTCTAACAATCGTACATTTGTAATTTACAGTAGACGTCGTTTACGATGCAGACTACACTCCGCTGTTGCGCACCGTATCGGTGAGTGGTGAATTACCTTTTATTTTAAATCGACATAATATATTGATATAAAAATTGATCTACATTAAATGCATGCTTGAATTTAGTAATATACAAATAAACATTTATTTTGCAAATAAACACGAGTTTTTGTGAGATCCAGTGCATCTTAAACACTCGCTTCGCGACAGTAATGTTCATTAATTTGTGAACAATGATTCTGTATTATGCAAGTCAACTTTTGACATTTGTTATAAATAAAATTGCTTCTTTTTAAATTAGGGTGGGACAGATGTAAAATATATTTTTAATAATTAATCAAATTCGCAAGACTCCGATGTGAAAACACAAATATAAAGTAACAAAGGAATAAGAGTCAAGACTATTTAGACACCAACATCCTCTCTTGATTTTCACGTCAGAGCCTTATCAATTTTATTAATTAATAGAAATATTTTTATAGACTATCTAGATATTATATAAATTATTTAATTTAAAGTCTATTGCGAAAAATAATACTTCAGTCAGGGTTTGAACCTGGACCTCCCCCTTGCCAATTCGACCACCGAGTCATGCGGTAATATATATCGCGATAAAAAGTCTCTTATCGTGACTAGATTCGAAATAAAACTGTGCGCCGACATAATTTTCAGTCTTACAACACGAAACAATAATAAATTCCCCCTTACTGCCCTCCCACCCCCTTGTATGGTATATAAAAATATTTTTAAGATTAAATATAATTCTGCCATAAAATTTTACGTTCAGCTTTACGGTGATGTGAAAATTTCAACGACTTTTACAAAACTGACCGCTCGGGAAAAATTAATATTACATTACGGGGCATTTGCAGTCTATATACATTCTCATACGCGTTCGTTTACGTATAATTCTCGATAATTATATGAATAACCAAGTGCTATATGTACAAATAAATTTTGATGTCTAAATGTTCCCAAATGACACATGGATAGATGTAGAATTCGAAGAGTCGATAATAATGGAAAAGGTCTAGTCTATTTTGGAGTTAGAAAGCTGTCGAAATAATTGTGGACTGGGCACCTTTGGCATTTATCCCTTGGCGTAAGACAGAAGTATGGAGATCTCCTCACGTGCACGCCCTCGCGTCAATCTATTCTTGCGCATCGGAGCTCGCTCTTATTCTTACGCGGTGCCTTGCGCAAACGCTTCTAATCCGCACATCAAACGAGGCTTATGCCCGCCGGCGAGCAATCTCGACAGACTTTGGGAGAATCCGCCGCGCTTTCGCGTACGTGGTATAAGCAAACGCTTAAAATGGCAAATCCCGAGCCGCCGGCGAAGTTGGACTAGTTTAGTTTCGCAAAAGCCACACACATCGCCCTCGTAATCTCTCGTGACCTATCGCCGTTATGTTTTCTCACGTCCCCAGAATAATGTCTCGCTCCCTGACGCGCGCGTATATCGATTGTCCTAAATCTGACGTTGTGAATTTCGGCGTTTGCCTGCTCATTTGCGCACGAGAGTCCATTCTACTCGTCGTCTTTCACTTCTCTGAATTCTATTACAGCCTCAGTGTCTGAAATCTTTTCTTTCTATTTTTTAAATAAAAAAAATATATAAGCAACAGATTACAGTGCACTGTATTATTTTGCATATAGAAAGTTGGACACATAAATATTTCGTAACGATGTTCTCGCGGAACAAAATCAACGTGGCAAAATGTGTGGTCTTTCAATAGCACTGAATTAATAAAAGTTGATGAGTATCGGTTTGGAACTGTCACCGTCAAATCAGAGATATGATATCGTAAAAAAAATAATATCGGAGATGATGGATTGTTCCTCTGATCTGGTTGCGTGAAATTCGGTGCGCAATGTGTGATTTTACGCTTAAAGGTGACCGATTTAGATTTCATTATAAATGATGGAATAATTTTTTTATGCTTTCGAAGTAACTCACGCAAATGAAGAAGTGAAATTTTTTTAAAAATACGTCGATTGTAATAATTATAAGGAACAGCTTAAAAATTCTAGTTTGTCATGTACTTACAAGTATTATGTCATGCAGTTATTTTATTCTTTCGCCGCGTGCACGATGCTTGACACGTTTTATTGCCTCCATACTGCATATTGTATATTATATGGAGGTTGGTGCGGATGCAAATTAGCTTCTTCGCGCTGCCAATCATTATTTGTGCATGTCACTATTAA